TGATTAACCAATAAAAGTTGACCAATAAAATTAACACTTTTTAACATAATATTATGCTTTTGGTTTATTTATTGAAATTAATGTATAATTTACAGTTGTTGATAAATTTCCATCGCTGTCATTTATGAGTCTGTCAATCATTTTAAACGATTGTATAAACTATTCGTAGACTTAATCTACCTAATGTCAGTCAAACCTTGTCTATTTTAGATGTCCTGCCAAGCTGTTCGCGCAGATAACATTTCATTTGTCTCATTTACATCAAATCAAACACTTTAATGTTAAATGGTGTTCCAATTGTCTCTGTTCTTAGATAAGGTACATATTTAATCTCCCTTATGATCAAATAACAAGAAACAAATCAATGAAACCGTAATAATTAATTAAAGAAGTATTATTTGAACTTATGGACATGCACATGTTTACAAAATAATTTATTGATAGACTAACATTGTGTTACAAACGTAATTGGTTATTTCAAAGTACTAATTTCTTTCACTTAAGATCTATTGCGCAATATCGAGAATGTTTTTATTAGCGAATTTCCCATATGGGGAATAAGCTATTACCGAAGTACTCATGGTAAGACCTTCGGTCATGGTAAGACCGCGGGACCGATTTTTTTTTTCATTTTGAGGTCCCTAGAGGCCAAAAACACCATCCGTTCAAATTCATATATATATATTATATACAGGGTGTTTCAGAATTGGTGTCGGATATTTTAGGGTATTGTTCTTGGGTAAGAAACAAATCCAATATCATTATTTAAATCCTCCAACTTTTTACACTTACTTTTAACGTTTACTCTCACTGTATAAGGTTAGAGGTACTTTATTTAACCTTATATAGTGAGAGTAAACGTTAAAAGTAAGTGTAAAATGTTGGAGGAACTGAACACATTGAATAAACAATAACATCTTCAGACAAAATAAAATCAGCTGAATAGTTTGTAGACAAGTACGTTGACTTTCACCACAGCTGATTAAAGATATCAGGGTGTTTAGTGTGAATTTTAAAAACAGTAAATAGGTGTGCAATTTTCAAGCCATCCTAATGATTGATAATTGATAAAAAAGACACTTTTGGGGTTATGTAATATTTTATTATTGTTTGAAATAATCTAAAATAGTTTAAAAATAACTTTCAAAGCGGACGCAGACTGTTGCATTGTTGTGGCAGACTTAGGCCACATGCCTCGGCATGCACTACATCAAGCGTCAAGCGGTCACGTATTACGAAAGCTGAGATATCTAATTTAATATTCATCCAATCTTAAAGATTAAGGTGTCAATCAATTTGTAATTGATTTATCTTTAAAAAGTTATTCCTGTAAATCTTTTGTAAACCCAACGGTTTTTGAGTAATTTAAGAAACAAAATTTTAAATGGCCGCCATTTTGTTTTATGAATTTTAAAAATGTTTGTATTTTTTTTTGTAGCTTTCATAAATGTTTTTTGAAAAGTTTCAATTTCATATCTTTTACCATTTTTTAGAAAATAATTAATAAGTGAAAAAATAACAAAATGGCGGCTGTGTGAGTAACTAAGGACTTCCGGTCGATTTAAATATGATATTTGGATTTGTTTCTTACCCAGGAACAATACCCAAAAATATCCGACACCAATTCTGAAACATCCTGTATATATATATATAAGAGGAACTATGTATGTATGTGTGTATATATATATATGTACATACGTTATGGACTCCGAAACCGCTCAACAGATTGTAATGAAACTTTCAGGCATTATTAAGCATCTTTCAAGGATGGTTCGAGTGAAGTTTGGTGCAGATCCGTCAAAAGGGCTCTGCCCCAGAGGGTTTTAAGTGGGCCATTGTCAGACTTTTTGATCTACAATGTTTACAAATGAATATAATTTAAAAGCAGATGTTTACTTTCACCAACTGTTTTGTAGGTTTGAATAGTCACAACATTCTGTATTAGCAATCTATCTATAATATTAAAACGAAACAGGGTTTTTTTATTTCACGATTCTGAATCAACCACTTGACGGATTTTCATGATTTTTGTGTTGAAAGAAAGATAATTTTGATTACTAGGGAATGTCGAAGCCATAATTTTAGTTTAGGGTCCCAGTTTTTTAGAAATTAAGTTTTAATTTTCAAAAAGTCTAGCAGCCGACGGACGAGTTAAAGTCGTTTTAGTGGTGGTTTAACTAACAGCTGGTTTCTAACTGTAATTGAAATGTTTATGTTACAAGTTGTTTGTATACAAAAATATTGATCCAGAGTTTGCCTACACACTATTTCACTTTAAAATGCAGTTTATTACCTACCGTAAAAGATCTATGTTATCAGGAGATTGTGTAATTTTGAACTAAACATTTTAAACTTATAATCAAGTTTTGTCAAAATGCAATCCGTCTAAGTATAAGTACCTAATCCTTTATTACGTGTTGATACACCCTTTTCTAGATGTTTGAATATAAGTATGACTGCATACAGTACACATGAAAATGTCAACCGGTGTAGTAGGTCTCCAGAAAACTGACCAGTAAGCTGCAGGGTGTCAGTAGGAACCAAAATCGATTCATACCATATCATAACTATCCCAGTAGTACTGTATGATTCAGAAACTTGATAAAGGGGTACATTCCAAAAGGTATATTTCAAAAAATGTAATCTTCAAATTCCCATGTTATTATTACGGAGAGTACATAAACTGTTGGAGTTTGCTTGTTTATGATTATATTTTAATGAAACTTGGCAAATTTATTTATTTTAAACTAAGCTATTAATCTATCTATACTATTATAAAAAAGAGGTGGTTGCTGTATGTGTGTATGTGTGTATGGGAAAAGTAAACTCGAAAAATACTGGTCGGATTGGGCTGAAATTTGGCATGATGATAGCTCACATTCCCGATTAACATATAGGCATATTCTTATTTCAAAAATCCTTTCGGGCTCCGCCCCAGTGGCTCTGGAGTTTCCCATGTTAACCTTATGAGAAATGGAATTATTGAATCTTAACAGCTGTTTCAATTAAACAAGTTGGTTCTGTTCTATGATGTTCAATAGCATTAAAGTTACAAGGATTACCAACAGGGTGCAGCACTATTATTTCTTTTACATTTATGACAACAGCTAATTTGCAACCAAAAGGTGAGTGAGCGTAGCGAACGAACTTCAACCTGGAGGCGAGTTAGCGTAGCGAACGAGCTAACCTGAAGGCAAGTGAGCGCAGCGAACGAGCTCCAACCTAAAGGTGAGTGAGCGTAGCAAACGAGCTCCAACCTAAAGGTGAGTGAGCGTAGCGAACGAGCTCCAACCTAAAGGTGAGTGAGCGTAGCGAACAAACTTCAACCAGGACGTGATTGAGCCATGCGAACGAGATAATCTTGAAAATTAAGAAGTTAAACGGGGCAAAGCCCGCGGGTTACAGCTAGTATATTAATAAAAACTCACTTTATTAATCTCCTTGTAGCAGAAAACCTAGGTACTCATGAAACCTAATGTTATTGAAATTGATTTAATTTTAAATCAAATCAGGGAAATGGAAACTCACTTAATCTGCAGGTTGGCTGTGGTGGTGGTATTTTGCATATCCCATGAAATGCAGGGACGGTAATGCAACCTTTTATTGCAAGGAAAGTGAATAGGTTGCTGCAGATCTCTGGAGGGAGTTGAGAACACAAAACACTGAAAGATTTTTTTTTTATTTTAGCTTTTAACGGCCGCCATTTTGAAACGACTTTATCAAACTCGACCATTGACAACCTGGGCCAAGATAATGTATTAAAGTACTTGTGTGCCAAATTTCATAAAAATCGGTTTAGGCATTCGGTCGTTATAGCCAATTCATGGGGACCCAGCATCCTCTTACGGCCGCCATTTTGATGACGTCATTACGGACCACCGAGGTCCTTAAAAATTGGGGTCTGGACGGTTTTAGGTTCAGAAACTTGTATACTATAATCACCTAAAATTGCAGCCTCTCCTCCAGAACTGAAATATTTTCCTGCTGCCCAACCTGACTATTACTACAACGTCTGATGATGACAGCATAGCTGGCGAAAGCACTCATAAGTTGTTTTTTTAAATATCGGTGCAGGTTCTATTTTAAATTATTTTCAAACCAATAATAGTTGTTATTGTATTTGCTGAATGTTCTAAAAATGAACAGATTGTAAATAAAATTGTAATGAAAAAAATGTTAACATTTTTTCTTGAAGATATAACGTGTGTTTAAAACAAGTTAATTACTACCTCAGAGTAATAAAACAAAATTTTGTTTTGTTACTCTGAGTTACTACTGACTGTAACTTGAATCAAGTTGTCCAAGTGATATTCTTTTAAAAACTCAACTTAGTGTTAGTGTAATGTGATTTCAATAAGAATAAGTATTGTGAATTCACATTTATAAGCAACATCACCACTAAGAAAGTTGATGGGCCCAAGTTGGTGGGACTAAATATTTTTTTAGGAAAAGTTTTTGCGTGAACTTTTTTTAGTTTAGTGTGACAACGGTTTTAATTTCAAATTTTTCACTTTTAAGGGAAGAATTCAAAACTTGTATATATACATTTTTTATCCTCCAAATTTCATAACAAGACAAAAGAGATATTTTATTGTAATCGAGTTTATTTTTCAAATGTAACTCTTCAAGATAAAAAATGCAGAGGTTTGTCAATTTGATCTTGTTTGCTCTATAGGTTAGTTACTTGTTGCTGCCCCGTTCTTTGCATTTAACTTCTTTGCTCATCCTTCTATGACTTTTGAGCACGATGCTGTCACCTGAGATTTAGTCTTATTTCTTTGTGTGTTACGTCTGAAGATTTTAAAGTTTCTTGTTGCTGCCCCTTTCTTGTCTTTCGACTCCTTTGCTCATCCTTCTTGGGATTTTGAGTTATTTATACTTTCTTCCTGTGTTTGGACCTGAGTTTCTATAAGTTTATTGTTGTTGCCCCTTTCTTTTCTTTTTTCTTCTTTTTGCATGTTGTGCACCTTTTGGACATGAACCCTTTAGTAAGATGCGATTTATTCTTTCTTTGTGTGTTTCGGCCCGGTTTTTTCTACCCCTTTCTTTTCTTCTTTGCGCGTGTTCTGCGCCTTTTGGGCATGGCCCCTTTCTTTTCTTCTTTGCGCGTGTTTTGCGCCTTTTGGGCATGGCCCCTTCCTTTTCTTCTTTGCGCGTGTTCTGCGCCTTTTGGGCATGGCCCCTTCCTTTTCTTTTTTGCGCGTGTTTTGCGCCTTTTGGGCATGGCCCCTTCCTTTTCTTTTTTGCGCGTGTTTTGCGCCTTTTGGGCATGGCCCCTTCCTTTTCTTCTTTGCGCGTGTTCTGCGCCTTTTGGGCATGGCCCCTTCCTTTTCTTCTTTGCGCGTGTTCTGCGCCTTTTGGGCACGCCCCTTCCTTTTCTTCTTTGCGCGTGTTTTGCGCCTTTTGGGCATGGCCCCTTCCTTTTCTTCTTCGCGCGTGTTCTGCGCCTTTTGGGCATGGCCCCTTCCTTTTCTTCTTCGCGCGTGTTCTGCGCCTTTTGGGCATGGCCCCTTCCTTTTCTTCTTTGCGCGTGTTCTGCGCCTTTTGGGCACGCCCCTTCCTTTTCTTCTTTGCGCGTGTTCTGTGCCTTTTGGGCATGGCCCCTTCCTTTTCTTCTTTGCGCGTGTTCTGCGCCTTTTGGGCATGGCCCCTTCCTTTTCTTCTTTGCGCGTGTTCTGCGCCTTTTGGGCACGCCCCTTCCTTTTCTTCTTTGCGCGTGTTCTGCGCCTTTTGGGCACGGCCCCTTCCTTTTCTTTTTTGCGCGTGTTCTGTGCCTTTTGGGCATGGCCCCTTCCTTTTCTTCTTTGCACGTGTTTTGCGCCTTTTGGGCATGGCCCTTCCTTTTCTTCTTTGCCCGCTTTGGTTCTTCCTTAGCCTGTTTGTTCACTCCTCCTTACTGTCCGGCTGCACTGTTACCCTAGATGGTCGTGGGTGCTTGTGTCTCTGTAGCTTGTGTATCTTAATGGTCCCCGCTGGGGCCCTGCACCTGCACCTGTGGCCAAACGTCCTGTAAACATATTTGCACATACATTAGTAAAATTGTATTTCTGGCTTGAACTCATAGTGAATACTTCTGAGTTCCAACTAAAGAATAACCAGCTAGACTCGTTCATGGAAGGGATCTTTGTTTGAGATTATCCTCTAATATGAGACGTACAATCTAAGGATTAAATGTCAAGTAAATATATCAATTTACTTGAAATTTAATCTTTAGATTGTAAAAAAATAATCATTGGAAAACTCAAAAATATAAGTCTAAAAGTTTGTATTTTGATTATGAGTAACCACTTTTATTTTCACTCATAATGCTATGATACATAATATTATGCCAAATTTCCGTATTTAAATCTGAAATATTTCTGTTGGCAGACCCCATGCCATTGCTTTTAAATACATAGCATTAATAATATCCAATCTATTACTGTTTCATCGAACAGTGTTTTTGGTTTTTATGATACCCTTTACATGATACTTCCATTCTTAAACTCAATCTTTTGCGAAAGCTTTCCTAAGAAATTAAACTACACTTTTAACGCTTGTAATCTCAATCAATATGAATACTCACGTCCAGCTCCTCGTTCGCAGGATAGAAGATTTGGCTGTCGCTGGACGAGGAGCTGACGGAGGGGCTTGGTGTTGGGGCGGGTGATGGCGGTGGGGTCGGTGCAGGTGCAGGCGGGCGCTCTCTGGTCATCCAGAAGTACCCCAGCGAGGCAGTGCAGCCGGCAGCGAGCAAACAGAGGATCGGGTGGTCCCAGAAAATGTATTTATTTTAATAAAGACAACCTTTTAATCGATTCAATTACTAGATTTAACTGAGGGTGCATGTAAGTAGTGCATAGTTCATCCAGTAACATATCGTTGGTAACAAATAAAAAGATCGGCACATAAGATTAAACTCCAAATACCATGTGTTCTATTTCCAGTAATGAGACTTTAATTATGAGTATCAACAGACTATGAGTGCAAAATTGACCCTTTTAAACATTTAAAAAATATCAAGTGCAAGAAACAACAAGACTTTCAGTTTCTTAATTACATACACTATTATTACACCATTAAAATACACTATCACACTATTACTAATTAATTAAAATTCACTATTATACTATTATTAATTATTATACATGGACACATAATTACTCATCCAATCATTCGTAAATGCCATTAGAATGAGTTTAGTTGAGGAGATTGAAACTGCATTATGTTTAGTTAACAGTTTGTTATGAGTCATTTTTACTCAATACAACTAAAACACTCAAACAAAATTATCCTAACATCTTACAATACTACAAACATCCTACAAACACGTTTTTTTAATATTATAAGACAATATGGTAGACCAAAATATAATACTATCTTTCTTCTCTTTGTGGACTCAAGGAGAGGAAATTTCCAAATGAAGAAATCGTGTAATTATCTTTAATGAAACAGCATAATTAAAATGTACATTATAATATTGATAAAATCATTACTCACCGAACAAAGTTAAGGACCATCATGAACGTGGAAAATTAGAAAATAGTATATAAGCAGCAGATAAAACTTGTAAAAATAGAGGCTATAAAAATATGTTAGTAGTTCCAAACGTTGTAGAAAATACTCTGACCTGATGGTTACCATGGATTTGATAAAGTTGAAAGTAATACTTAGTTACCTATATTGCACCTATGATTGAACTCAATTTGGAAATAGATAGATATTTTAGCTATCCACATACTGTAGGCTGCTACAAATAAATTCGTGTTGGATACAAAATCCTGAGCTAAGTCCATCTTAACAGATAAATTCAAACATTTGCAGGTGAATTTAAAAAGAGATGTACAAATCTTTCATACCCTGGGATATTTGTTTAGAGCTTGTTGTAAGCTGGCCACCATAGACATCCTTCATATGAGAAAAAAAAAATTGGAAAGTCGGTGCTAACAAGATTATTGTCTGACAACACTAAACAAACGGTCAGGATCCAGTATTTGCGTGTTTACTTGCCTTAGTAGACGTAGTCGGATTGTATCGGTACATTTCCAAACACAGACGTGGATTCTTTTTGAAAATTACTTTCTTCTATAAAATGTTGTACACCTTTAGTATTTTATTTATCTTTCAGTAATAAATTGATTTTGATCTTACTTTTCGTCTGCAGCGAAAGCTGTGATTTTTATTTGTATTTTTGTTTATTTTGAAATTAAAATGAATGTAAATCGTAAACTTAAAAGAAAGGTGATACTAAATCTTGATTAAGAAAGAATTACTAACCAACAGAAAATATTGAACTCTAATTACTGTGGACGGACCTAGATAAGAGTGAGGTAGGGATCTCATACCAGAAACGTTCTGCGGATGGTGTGACTTTCAAAGGTAGTCGGGGGAGAGGAAATAGACAAAGTGCCATAAATCATCACATCAAACAGTAACAGCTACAACTGCTCCCAGGGCCAGAGAGTGCAAGCCACTGATATAAGAACTCTGACAATGGTCAACTACTTGTGTTCTGCTCACTCACAAAATATTCTTACCACGGAACCAACACAACCCTGCACCTTAATCTCAACGAAATATGAACATCCAAAGTGAATCTGTCAACACTAGGTCCACTTCTTCTCAGTGACGACCTAGAGATGACAGACGAAGCCACTCACAACGAGGTGGAGCACCGGAGAAGAGAACAAATCAATCATTGGATCATTAGACTAATCAATCCCAGAGTGTTCACAAGGCTTGGGTAAAGGCAGCTTTGAAACACATAGTAAAGGTAGGTTGATTGAATATCCTTTCTGAATATTACACAGTAATTCAAAACCAAACGCAAGCAAGGGTCATTGAACAAGTAATAGGCTAGTGTATATTTAGAGCAACACAAAAACTGATCTGGGATTTTTTTTTTACATAGATTTTGAATTGTTAACTAGAAAATGAAAAAAGGTAGGCTAATGCACAAACTTAACTCAAATCTCATTTAACTTATTAACTTACTAACTACCTACTAAAGTGAAGCAGACCAATCATATATGTCTACAACTTAACAAAGACCTATTCACTACATGTGTATGCAAACATGCCGTACCTACAGATATTCAACCCAGTTAGCAAACCTTAGCCATACTAAATCTTATGACCTTAAAACACTTAGCAAAACATTAAAATACACTCCCATATTCAAGGAAAATCTATACTTATTTAATACGCAAGCAGGATTTTTGTGACAATTACTCCTCCGAAACTACTGAACCGATTGTCATGTTTTTGGTGTCATTAGAAAGAGCGTAGCATGAAGTTGTGCAGGAAACTTTCTTTTTAGGGAAATAATGAGAGAGTGAGGCCCTGGAGCCCTTTAAAGTTTCGTATTTCTCCATAAGATTAACATTGGAAACAAAAATTGTTATGAAACTCCAGCTGTTGTCAGAAATCAAAAGTGAGAAGAAGAGCATAGGTTAACCCTAAACAGTCAATAAGTTTGCTAATATAGTATTATAACAGTTTGCTACAAATATTTACTTAGCAATTGCTCGAGTTCGAGCAACAGGGACACTAGTATGAATAAATGCATGTCAGGTAACAAACAATTCAGTTATTCCTCCATATCAAGCAGTCAAACTTATACTGTCAATAAAATATTAAAACTTGTATTTACTTACCGGACGAAGTCCAAAATCATCATGATGGATGAAATCTAGAAAGTGTAGACGTTGAAAAATGTAAAAGTTTGGACAAAATGCAATACGATGTGACTTTAAGGACCACAGAAATAGCAATGAAAATATCGTTGCTATGGATTTGATAAAATAATGTACTTTTTTATTGTTAAAATCTTATAGAATGGCATGACGACTACCTTTGTTCGTTATAGATATAAAAACCTATTAATGTATTAAAATGTGTACTATAGTTAGATATGTATTTAATTTAAATACAGTAACATTTTCTTTGTTTTTATTTTCTTTTTCAAGTGCAGGTGCTATTAAACAATCAGAAATGATTAATTTAGTGTATTTAGTTAATTTTTTTTAAGTAATGAAAATACTGTACCATTCTCTACACATACTAACAGGAATATTAAAGCTTTTTATATTGAACATAAAAAAGTATACCTCACATTTTAAAAATAAGTATATGTTTAATTTATAGAAGCTATTAATAACAAAGGCAGATTAAAACTAATTTTTCTTAGTATTTTTTTATGACTTTGATAAGGATTTGTTAAGGACGTTTATATTTTGTACGTTCATAGGGATAACTCTGGTAAATCATTTAAGTTTGATGAAATTATGCTTAAAGCGACCATAGTCTGATATTTGGAAAACCTAATCAGCTATATGGTATCTATATAGTTGACTAATGCAGTTTAAATTGCAGTTTTTTGTATTGCTTGGTAGTAAGTTTTCTGTTTGGTGTGGCAGTCCCTCGATAATTCAGCTTAAACGGGCAGCTAATCGGCAAGACCACCGAGAGACCATTGAAATAAGTAAATTAATTAGATTGACCAAATGTGAGACAGCTAAAGACACTGGTGTTAATTTAGTGTGAATGGGTGGCAGCAAATATCTTGAAGTTATTATCATAAAAATCTAGAAGGTTGGCAAGCCTTTTAATCCATTGATATGTTTGTGATGATAGGCCTAATATTAATAAATATTTTATTTTTATT